GCAGTAGTCCTCTTTTCAACCATAGCCGTATACACGCGTATCTTGATATGGACGGATGTGTTTGAGGATAAGAGTCTAGTATTACATGGACTAGGACACGGTGCAGATAGCCCCTGACAACGACTGTACTAGAATGGGCCTACTCTCGTATTCATCGACGACGACTATGCTGGTGCCGTTCACGTATGTATGTATGTACCGAGCGAGCAAATTTTCCTAATGAGCGAGCCGTGGAGCATCAGAGGAATCCGTCCGGGAATCTGCGACGGGACCGGCGTTAGCGTTTTTCTTGCCGTCCGGCGATCCTCGGAAGACAACGACGATACGGATGGGCAGGGGAAACAGGTTGTCCGCCGCGCTAACGGGGCAGAAGCTCGTTTCTCCTAATGCCAACGTAGCGGTCGATCTTGCCTCGTCTGTGCCCCGCGAGAGAGGACGCCGAGGAAGAGAAAAAGAATTTATGGCTGCTTCCGAGAAGCCGCGCACGCTGCTGCCGGTGATGGGAAATCCTGCGCGTGAGAGGCACAAGGTATGCTCCTCGGACGCGCGTAAGTCAGAAGTCCAAACTGTTACGAGGGATCCGTATGGACCCTCTCTTTTTTTGTTTGCGAAGAATCGCTCGCACAGGGGGACCCCGATTTTTTTTTATGGGTTTTAATTTTAAGAAGCAACGCAGATGAACACTCGCAGAGGCAGTCATTGTTTTTGTCGACTTGAATCGATAATAGGTTGCGCTCCAATGGTCGCATTATTTTTATACGTATGTAGCATTCTGAAAGGCAACGATTTTGAATCGCGTGGAAAAAGGCTCATGCAAATGGTCCATTGATGCCCTTCCCTTGGCTCAACGCACGATCGTATTACACGAATCTGCCCCTCGGGCTAGAGCCGGCGAGAATAATGTTAAAGCCCCTTAATTTCGCGCCCGGTGAATCCTTATCGTTACCGAGAATTGATTTAAAATGTCCCGAAAACGCACATTGTTCGCGAAAGACTCTGAGATGTTATCTGGTCCCCGAAGAGGGACGAAGGGTACAAGGTGCTGCTGAAAGGGAGAGCGAGAATGGGCTGCAGCCGCTGACCTGAGGCCCGCTCGTGCATATGTGCGTTCCCTCGCGGGACACCGACGACAACCTTACACCTTTAGAGGTCCCCTTCTTCTTTTTTTCGACCCCCGTCCTCTTTTGTACTTTTCATTTAATTTTTTTCCCTTTTCGTTGCACGCGTGTGCACAAATAAAGCAAGGGAAGCTCGTGCTGTGCCGTGCATATATCCCTGCGTAGGCTCGCCACCTGTGAGTTGCATGTATGTATGTATGTATATGCAAGAGGAGGCTTCCTTGGTTGCTTCCTGCCCAAAACGAGCAAGGAGTATGTGGGCTGGGAGCTCTCTTGCTTTGAATGACAATGAGACGCGTGTGCAAAAAGTTCGCTGCTGGGAGCTCCTGTCCTTTTGGTCTGTCGGTACAGATACTTAGCTAATGATGATTTTTCTCGAAGTCTGTATGGGAGCTTTTTGGATACAAAATATGATCAAAGGACGAGGAGTCACTTGCAATACGACATGCAACATATGGTCATTCCCCAAAGAATATTTCCGATTGGACTTTAATCGAAAGGTATAGCCCCGTAAGGATGCTTTGGAATTAATAAAATATTGCCAACATGACGTAATAATTATGCACGTTTGCACGATTGGCCCCTCGTTAGATGAATGCTAATTAAACCGGAGCCCCATGGGAATTCAGAAAATTATGCAGAGAGAGGGTGAGCTAACGATGAGCTATGGATCGCGCGCCTGTAAATTCATCAATGGGGGCCACGAGCGATGAGCAGAGAGGTGTATGATTATCCGTGTCAGTTCGCATTAGAGGCCGGCCACGCGAAGATTCATTGAAAACAACGAAATTCAAAACAGCCGCTCGTCCTCGCTTTTTTCTTTTTCCTCGGGCGCTTGAATGGACGTATGGAGCAAACGAAAGGAAAGCAAAGGAACAAAAGAGCAAACGAAGAAAAAAAAAAAAAAACAAGGCCCCCAAAACTGGGGGAAACGACGAAGGATGAATGAAAAAAAGCGTGGCGAAGAGCATATAAGTATAAGGACGAGAATCGAGGAAAGGAAGCGTATACAGGCGCGCGGGTTTTCGGGAGATGCTCCGTCTCCCACTCGCGAAAGAGCAAAAAAAGATAACGCGGAGGTGTAAGGGAGAGAAAGAGCGGAAGGAGACAATGTGTATACCTACGGGGAAAGGGAATACTGCCCGAAAGAGGCCCCGGGCGAGGTCAGCCACCGCCCCCGCCGCCCTTTTCCCCGCACAGCACTCATATTATGTATACAGCTCTCGGCAGCAAAAGAGAGAGCACGTCTTTTTTTCTCTGCTTCTCCCACCCCACGGGGCCTGATTACCTGCCGCCGGGGGCGGGACGGGCTGTAATGAGGATCCCGAAAGGGTGCTCAACCTCTCAATACATGCAATCGTGCGTGTGTGCGTAAATGCAGGACGCGCGCGTTGTTACAGCACAGCAGCGGCTCGCCTTCGGCCTTCCTTCTTGTCCTCTGCTGTATGTACTTGTTGTGCACACAGATGATTTAAAGGTGATATGCAAGTAAAGCCAGCCAACCGGGCGAGCTCGGTTGCCTTACATTTATTGTGCGATCGACGCGAGCCTGCAACGAGAGATACCCTGCTCTTACATGCCTACCTACTTATATACACGAGGCGACTTTTATGGGCTCCAAGATTTTCGTTTAACACGAGACTCGACTATATCTCTCTTTCTCGGTAGGAGGTGACTATCGCCGCCCTTCTCTTCTCTCTCTCTCTCTCTCTCTGATCAAACCCTTTTTACAAGAGGTTCAGGGGGTATGGGGTTGAACTTTGTAATTGCCCGTATGGATATAAGATGTACACAAAGTTCGCTCTGACGTGTGCGTGCACCTGCCCCGTGCGCGGATTTTACCCTGGAAATTGGGAATTTTTTAATTTCGATAACGCTTCGAGTTTAAATCTGATGCTTTATTTAATAAGTATTGGGTATAACAACCGAGGGTGTGGGCATACGCTGCGTACGTGTAATATTGAAATCCAGAGCGGTAATTAAAATCTTTGGGTTTGATTTTTTGAGAGTATTGGTGGACCACGTGTTAATTGGATAAAGTGCAGAGATTATTTTTTTCCTTTGGCTTGAGCAATTTTTTTGTTATCTTGATGTTTCGATGAATTGTATAGGGTTACAGGCTTGTGAATGAAAAACAAACTTTCAAGCTCATCCTCCCTCTATCCGCACTTTTAATTATCACAGTCTGTAAGAATACAATATGTAAGCTATCAAACTTGATTGTTTTCTTGTTAAAGGAGCCTTCAAGCCCAAGTGATCTCGTCAACCCCAATTATCATAACGCAAGCTTGCAAGCGCTGCAATTGACCCTGCTGCAATGCTCACACAAGACACATTTTTATAATTTAAGAACCCCCACAATCTTATACATCTGAGTTGGGAGTTTTTGTGCCCTTCGGTTAAAATACGCTTACATGACATCAAACCAGCATATAACCGAGACGCATGAACATAAATGGTACATCACAAGTATCACGTACAATATAAATAGGATAAGCCGATAGAATCCTTCGAAACATCGCAGAAAGGGGTCAAAGAGCCACGAAACTCTCCAAGGAGAGCCGAGCCATTAAAAGCTCTCTCTGCTCCTCGAAGCGTCGAGGTATACAAGTTCCAAACATCCAAGGAATGCCAGCAGTAACAAATCGCCACCAAGTACAAGGGCTATCTGTATCCTCGCGCGGTGTACACAGGGAATACGAAAGTAGGCATACACGCGTATCCTCCTGGTGTCGTGTTGTCAGCACCTCTCCTCCTACTCCACCTCAGAATGATCGAGCGATGTTATTTCAAGTTTTCCATGGGGGGCACGGATCCACATACAATACACACACGTGTGCTCACGCATCACGCCTGCTGGTCTAATGTCTCTTGGCTCCCGCAAAGAAAGCGGAGAGAGGAAGAGATAAAAATCCCTATACGCTGCGAATCGAAAAGAAATACACGCGCCATGTCCCTCCACTCTTCCACCGATACATGCGTGTATAATATGTATTATATACACCAGCAAAGTGGTCACGAGCCCACTCCCCCGCCCTTCACTCTCGACGCCTTACTTTTTCCCCCCCTTTATCGCAGGACACGGCTTTTTTTTTCTCTCCGTCTCCACGTGTATGTGTGTGTGTATACACGAAGGGGAGAAAAAAATGGCTCGTCTTCCATCCCCCCATGTGTCCCCTGCGTGTACGAGACGACGAGATTCGCGCTGAAGGATTCATCGGCTACCCCCTCGAGGGTGGATTCAAAACGCTTTACACTCTCTTAACGGACCTGTTGATCCTCTCTCTCCCTCTCTCTCTCTCTCTCTCTAGGTATATAGCACAGCAGCAGTCTCGTGACCGCGTTTAGTTTAAAACCCGAAGACTCGAGGATGCTAAGCAGAGGGTCCTTTTTCCGCCCTTCTCTTTTCTTCATTTTTTTTTTTTTTCCATCCATCCATCCATCTGCAGAGGGAGGGTCGAGGATTAATGTTCTTACGGGCTGTTTTATTGGGTGCTTGGCATACTTTCTTACATTGACGTAAAATGGGCTGCGACATGGGTGGCGGGACCATGGACTCGAGGGTTTTTGCCAAGGAAGGGTTCATTAAAACCCGTGGTCCTTGGAATTGTTGTTTTATATTCGATGTGTTTGAGCAGAAAGGGTTGTGATTATACAATTTTAACAGCCACGAGTCTTTCTTTTTCTCTTTCGCAACTTGAAACACTCACCATTTTACTTGATTTAAGCACACGCACCCGAAAAGACTCGCAAAAAAAATTCAGAAAAATTCGCGACACCTGCAGATGTGCTCTTTGCTTGCGCACAAAGAGCCAGTGGACGCAGAGATCAATAGGGTGTATTGGCTTGGATGGTAAGTCATGTGTATGCATGAAAACTCACCATAATGTCGATCCGTCATCGGCTCGCAGGAATCTGCAACAGAGGAGAAAATATTTTTTTTCTAAGTTTCGTTAAAAAGTAAAAAAAAAAAAAAAAGAGATGCTTCCATTAACCTGCTTCGTGTAGATATTTTTATCGTTTCTGCATCGAGCTAATACATACATCTTTTGACAATCACACGTACAATAATTCATTGCGGTTTCTCCAAAAATTGCTCACATCCGCAAATATTCGCCCCAAAACACTGTGCAACAATTTTAACCAAAATAACAAATATTCCCTGCATCGCAATAGTGCATACATACATATGTCGACTTGCTAATGATTTCGATTACAATTTCAAATAAGCATCCGCACAAATTGTACGGGCTGGCTCTCAAATGGCCGTTCCGAGAAAAAATTTGGCACCGCGCACACGAGGCCCGCCATTAAATCTTTTTGCACGGAAACTAAACCACACGTTGCATCTCCTTTCCGTACATTTTTTTTTTTTTTTTTTTTTTTTTTTCGTCCCCCCATTCCTCCGCTCAATAATCGCTTTCCGGAAGTGTGTCCCCCCGGCAAGAGCGTCATTTATTCAGCAGATTTCGAAACAACCAGAGCACGATTCGCAAAATCAGGCTCGCATCGTCATTTCCCTCGTGCATCCGGATAAAACATCCAATGCGGGGCAAAATGAAAAAAAAAAAAAAAAAAACA